TTAAAACCCTATTAAAGAAAGGTGTTTGTATTTTCTCACAAGTTAAATCTTAAAACCCTATTAAAGAAAGCTGTTCTTATTTTATTAAAGAAAGGTGTTTTTATTTTTATTTTAAGTGCACTCACCATACGGTTGATTCGTACAAACTCCTCTGGGGATGATGCCCACGGGGGCAGATACACGTCCCCCACAACACTCCCATCCTCTTGCTTTCCTAACTGGTAGCCATTCTTGTTAGCAAACATTTCAGGCAAATAATAAAATTCAGGAATCAGCTCCTAATAAGAATTTCAAATGTATTAACATTATGGGATATATGTTTATATTTCATTAAATTCCATAGCTTGTAATGTATCTGCAACAACTTTTATTATACTGAGGTGGACTCACTGACCGTTGGCAAAAATATTGATGTGAAAAGCTCGCTAAGATCACAACACAGAGAAGAATGATGGCAGTCAAATGAAGTGCAAAACTACCATTAAAAAATGAATGTTTGAATTAAAATACAAATAAAATGAATATCTTTGAATGTGTGTGTGTGTGTGTGTGTATATATATATATACATACACACGTACACGAAGGTTGAGTACATTACATTTAAACAATTTTAGGGCCTAAACATGTCTTTCCAGTCTATTATCACACCCAGTTATACTCTATCTTAACAATAACCTGCAGTGTAGTTGCCATTTCAATAGGTTCTACCGTAAGGCTATCATGTTTGAAACACATCCTTATCTTGGCAGGCTTTCCATATTTATGTATGAGGATGATGCTTTCCCAGCACCTATTTCAAATACTGATTCCATAAAAATCCATAGATGTTGTGTCTGGTGATTTTACCAGAATGTTATCTTGAGGAAATGCATGGACATTCACTTCATTCTCCAGCTGTTTGAAGTACACAACACCTCAAGCCTTATCTCGATGAACCTGTTGATCTCATTTCTAGATGGTGATCTTTCTTCATTATGTTGTGTGCTTGGGGCCAGTAGACGGCTTTAGCCACTGACATTTGTGTTCACCAATCTTCACATGTTACAAGAAATTATACTGAAGCACAATGGTTGAGGTTACAACTTGTTGCAAGTCCCTTTTTGGATGGTCCTGGTGCCCAAATTGGCCCATGTCCCTTTGTTTTCTAATGCCAATAAATACAAGGGATACCATAGTTTGGAAATTCTAAAGATTGTTACATACCATTCCAAAAAGTGATTAACTTTCAGTGACATCATACAATCTATAAAATGCCAAACAATGTCAAAATGTAGTTATGATACATTTCATCCCACCATAGCTTTATATTGGTTGTGGATGTCACTTCGTTGATCTACATAATCAAAAGTGTTTTAATATAATATACTCAACCATCTGTACTTAAAAGTTTACTGAAGAAATAATACTTAATCCACTTATGCTCCCAAAGAACTGTATAATAACTTAACCCCATCCTTGGTACATACTCATATCTTCATTACAATGCTCGTCTATTAATGGTGTGCCTCAGTACAAGCAAAACAGTATGATCTAACTGATTAAATCTTACCTTAACATCAGAAGTATCTCGTTGGCAGTTTTTCCAGGCCTGAGCAACAGAGGAAAACATGCGATTTGCATGATCAAACTTTCCTCCTTGAAGGGCTAGAAACATAGTCGTGAAAGGCTCCTGTAGAGTTTACAAAACAAAAAAATGTATCTAATCTCCAAATTTCATTTGGACAATTAACTTACATAAGATAATACAGTGTTAATAACTTCTTATATACATTCTATCATGTACTGTGGCATTATCTTGAAGGTATGTAGTTAAATTTCAGATATGGTAAGTAGTTTCTATTTTATTCTAGAATCATGGGATCCACGATTACAGAGTTACTAATAATGTTAGTCACATGAACAAAAACACCATAATTGCACAGAAAATGACTGACTTCACCAATTGCTCTTGGCAAGTTCTTTACACTGACTGTAAGAGAATAAAAAATTACTCTCAATATAATGAAAACAGTAGGAAAAAAAAGACAGTAATTTGTGAGGTGAGCAAACTACAAACACAGATTAGAAAACCTTTATGCCTAAAATAGTTTGTACGCTAGAAGTTTCTGGTATAAAAATCACAACTTGTTTCTTTTTTTAAATCAGAGTTAAAACACAATTTGTATATTTATAAATTTTCTTTTTTGGAGAGAAACTCTAAGAGAACATGATCTGATTCAAAATTTAACTTAATAATTTAAAACTTAAAGTGAAAACTGGGAATGGAGTGTCTGGTTGGTAAGGATCATATCTCAGTTTTGAATACATATTTAAGCTCTAATCTAACAATAACATAGTTGTCAATTTATTTTATACATAATACATTAACAGTTGTCAGGAACTTGCATTAATTTACATATGATCCATTGACAGTTGTTAATGAACAACAGAATCAACTTGGATCAACATACTTTATAAATAATTCATTAATAGTTAAGAAACAGCAGAATTCACTTGGATCAACATACTTTATAAATAATTCATTAATAGTTAAGAAACAACAGAATCAACTTGGATCAGCATACTTTATAAATATTCAATTAATAGTTAAGAAACAGCAGAATTGACTTGGATCAACATACTTTATAAATAATCCATTAATAGTTAAGAAACAGCAGAATTGACTTGGATCAACATACTTTATAAATAATCCATTAATAGTTAAGAAACAGCAGAATTGACTTGGATCAACATACTTTATAAATAATCCATTAATAGTTAAG